GATCATTCATTCATCGAACAATGAAAAATATATCAGAGGAAAGCATAGTGCAGAAACTTGCCTCAATGTGGTTTCTAATATTTACATTTATAAGGATCCCTTGGTTCTCCATAAACTGGATAATAACATCACCAATAATATCAGACTACAAATACAACGTATGAAAGAAAAAACTGCTAAACATTTCGAGACAAACAAGAAGGGCTCTAAATTGCATTACATTAACATGAAAACCAAAACAAAAAAGTTGGAAATCAAAGAAAGCAACACGTAATATTTGTACAGCACCTGTAAGAACTTGCTTGGAACTGCATTGACAGACTCAAGTAGAGCTTGAGTGTTATCTTTGCCAAACAATTTGATTCTGCCATCCCTGAAAATGTCAAAGAAATTATCGTAATCAAAACGAAGACTAATATTTGGACAAAACATGAACAGCAATACAGTCTAGCTAATGATATGTCATTGATAATGTGTCGATGATTATTGACAATATCAATGCCACGCCCAATCTGTATTAAAGAACGGCATCTTGCAGAGAAAATTTCTGAAAGCCGGTAATACTAATTTTGGTAGAAGAAATGGACTCACTTGGTTGAAGTTGCAAGTAATTTTTGGATGGAGTCATAAGCCAACAAGTTACAGCCTGATGGTATTCCATGATGGAATACTACACGTGGATCGATATCACTGCCTTTAACACCATCAGAATTTCCTCCAGGCTACAAAATAGATGACAAATAAGTAATGTTAACTCTTAAACTGCCTCTAGAGACAAATAGATAAATCTGATTTTTAATTTAATACTGTCATCAACTGTTCATTGCCACAAAAGCAACAACATAAACTCTCAAAACCAACAAAAAGGACAAAGTTTTAGTCTATACCAAGTGACTTGTAGCTCAAACGGTTTAGAATCTTCGCTCATATATTTAAGGTATTTGTTCAACCTTCTCCCTCCCTAAAAAACTACTTTGAGTCTAAAAAGAGTGTTTTTCCACTAGAAAATCACATCTATTGTATTTCAAAAGGGTCCCTTTATTGCAGTTTACTTGCCTCCTTTTACAAAAAATACATTCAAATTCAAATGCAAGGAGGCAAGTAAACTGCACTGATGAAATTGACCTAACCCACAAGTACGAGTAGATAAAGAGTTTACCAGATATATTACGTGAGTAATAAAGTTAGTTTGAATATCGACATTTCCTAGTGTCGGACATTGCTGGAATCTCCAAACCTCTTGATGTTTTGCTTTAGTTTTTCTTTGTTGGGCGTTTAGCCCCGTTGTTTTACCCAAAAAAGGTAAATTTGAATAGTGTGTCATTGAGTTTCTCCCTCTCTTTGAGCATGATATGGGTCGACAAATCGGACGGTAGAAACTCGTTGGGCAGTGGATGGAAGAGGAGAGTAATTGGACCAGTTTGCTCGTGGGCTCGTAATGGGCACACACATCCCGGCCCATTTTCTCACTTTGATATAAATTTGGGCCCACAAAATCTCTTTTGTAGATAAATAAATATTTGATCCACCGCCCATCACATGGACGTCTTTTAGATCTTTACTCCTTACTATTTACCAAAATTATTAATCTTTTCCTTTTTTTATTTGCTATAAGTTGACTATTCTATATATATATATATATATATATCCATTAAAAAACATGCATAAAGACAAATTAATAAAATATGTAGCAAAGAAATTTGATATATTGTTATATCTACACTAAGTGGAAGAGGTGGACTTAACCTCACAATAATGTGGTTCAAATTCGTCTTTGGCAAAAATCGAATCTAAGACATCTCGCTTCCCAGTAAAGAAGAATATTATTAGACCGTAGTACTAAGTGGCTATTGTTACTTGTTAATTACATGAGAAATATCGAAAGATGACACACATTAGAATATAAGATTTATTTGGGTAGCAGTAATTTCTTTATTCTGAGAAGGGAAATGAACTCTTGTCTTATGAATTGAGATAAATACTCTATCACTCAAATTACGACGGTGATTTAGTACGATATGACCTATGTCATTGATCTATTAAGGATAAGAATTTTTTTTTATGGTGGGTACGTGGCAGCTATTTACATTAGGGTGGGGATTTTGAACGCCTTTAATAAAAGTTAAAAAGGGAGCTAAATACTTGAGACCTAAGTTAGTGTTGAAACCAACTGAAAAGGTGAGGTTTCTAATAAGGTCTCATTCCCCTTGTAAGAAGGAGGAGTCAAAAAGGAAAAGAGGAAGGATATCAAGACAAGTAAACTCAATAGGATATAGGAATACTATCATGATTTTTTTATAAAACAAGTTCAAACGAAACTTACTGATGCTTACAATTTCACAAGTGTTATTTATATTTAGCAAAAAGTATTCAGTGAGGCTGTGACGCACTGTAACAAATAGAAATAGTGAAAATTACGTGTGTGTGAAAGATTATAGTGAAACAAGTGCTTTTATGTATGTGCATACGGACCATACACATAGTCAGGATGCTCGTATTGAAGATTTTTTCGTGACCTAAAAGCACACGAATAGCTTTTGTCTAATTGAATGCCAAATTGGATAAGACAATGCCCAAAACGACATTAAAGTTAAAACTATGGACTATTTTCAATTAATTAAAGTATTATCTACATATTCTTGTTATGAAAAGTATGAAAATGAAAGCATATTGGCTTGTTTCTTATCCAACCGGCCACCTCTTCACAAGGCCCCACCTATTAAAAACGTTTTTTTTTAGGAAAACTAATGAAAATGGCTTGAAAACTTTGAATTTTAATAAAGGTCGTACCCAGTGCACAAGGCTCCCGCTTTACGCAGAGTCTGAGAGAGGTGAATGTCGGCTAGCCTTACCCCCATTTTATGAAGAGGCTGCTCCCAAGTCTCGAACCCGAGACCTACCGCTCATGGGCGAAGGCACTTGCCATCGCACCAAGTGCGACCTCTAAAACTTTGAATTTTAATGATAAGGACAAAATAAAGGGTAAAGTGAATAGTACCAGGATTGACTTTTTAGTGTAAAAATGTGATTTTTCGTTAAAGTGAACAGTACCCGGTGCTTTTAGTTAAAATTCACTCTTTTTTTCCCAAAATATTGACTCATTAAATGGGTAAAGCAACGCATTACAGTATACTAATTTTAGTAACGTCTCTCATCCACCAAACCGACACATATACCTTTATATGTCACACTCCATCTGTGAGTTGGTCTTTTTCTATTAGTTAATGCTAGAGAGACTGAATAACTGTTTATATTAAATTTTGTAAATTATATAACGTGGTTGTTAAAAATTGAATTATTACTTAAATATTATTTAACGTACTTATTTTCTATTGATGACACAAATTTGATTTAAAAAATTGGTCTATATCAAGCGAATGGGAAATTAAAACAAATCCAATCACTTAATTGCGAATTAATCATGAAAATTCTAAAATAAATTTCATCCCATTTGTGCATATATGTAGCCATAGAAAACTTTCCTCTAAATATGGAAGTGTACTATTTGTTCAATGTTTTTTACCTCATTTTTTTACTAACAAACACACTCACACATCAACTGACAATTTTGAAACAATCTAAACTCTCAACTACTACCAAAGTTCAAAAATTATTATTAAAAATTGGGAAGCAACGTGCATCCAACGGCAAAAGATGCAACATATATGATAACAAACAACTTTATTTGCCTGACAATCTATTATCTTAATCAAAATTGTAATCCAATACCCTATTTCTCCTTTTTGACAAAAACAAGAACAAGAAGAGGGAGGATGAGAAGAATGGATCAAAATCATCACGTACTCAAAAAAAACGTTTACAAGCCGATTGTAACTCAGTTGGTTAAAAACGTTGAGATCTAAGTTTAAAAAACGAAGAGAGGGAAGAAGATGATCACTTACCTTCTTGGAAGCCTTCTCCACAAGCTTTCTGACAAACATGGATGATGATCTGTGCTGTCCTCAGAATCTCAGACCAACAAAAATAAATCCCACGGCTGAGAAGCCAAATTGCTCTACCTGCTTTGAAATAACCGACGACGAGAGAGGCCAAGGAGGAAGAAGAAGAAAAGAGAGAAAGAGAGAGAGAGAGAGTGGAAAGCGTAAGAAATGAGCCGTTAATTGCCGTTTTTCCAATTTACGTTGGAAGAGCGGAGCAACGGGACAAGATTATAAGCGGTTTTTCAAGGACAAAATACAATAACTGCTGGTGTGGACACGTGGGCGTTGATTAGGAGATCTGAAACCATTAGGTGAAAAAAATTGTTGACGCTTTGACTTGGCTTTCACTCACTCACTCTCTTTCAAGATTTGTACCACATGACAGAAAATTTACCTTCCTGGGACAGCTTCAGCAAAGGACACGTGGACACGTGACATGTCATGATTCAACCCGGGACCCACCACACATGATCCTTGCCAATCGATGTTGCCGTGCTACGCGGCCCAATCTGAAACAGCTAACTTCACGGTTTTGGATACTTTAAAATTTCTGCTTCGTAGTTGAATGTTACGCACCCGATGAACAAGTGTTGAATGTGCAATTGAGAATTCAACTATAAGACTTCAGATAAAACAAAAGTTCGTATTTTTTTAATTTTTTTATATGTATGTAGATAAGCAGTAGTAAGCATTAGAATGATAAATAATTTTGATTTCAAGAGTTTATAGTACTAACAATCACAGTAATCTCTAAACTTTCACAAACAGCACTTGATTATTCTGAAGATAATTTTGTGTAAGAGTATAATACTGAACCTTTGCGTGGATGAATTAACATCATTCATTTTACTACTCTCTTGTTTCAACCAAAAGATTTAAAATTGAATGAGTTGCCAAACATTCATTAATACTCATTTTGAGTTTTTTTTTTTTTTAATGGATGTAAAAATAAATTTACATACTAATTTAGATAGTGACTTTGAGTTTAAAAAGATATCGGTAATTTAATTAAAAATAATATGAATGTAGAGAGTAAAATGGATATAAAAAGAGGTTATATGAATTCAAATAAATTTTTTCTTTATGTAAATTGCCTGTGTGTATTGAAATTGAAATCTACAAGTTCAAAGGCCAAGTAAACAGCCAGAGCAAATAAAAAGATGAAAGACAACTGTGGTTTTTCGGCCACGAAATGGAACAACATATTTACAACAACATAGAAAAACACGACCACGAACTACTCCTCTGCCTTGTTCTTGCTGTCCACTGCTTCCTTGAGTTTTCGTCCCAACGCATAGGCCAAAGTAGGAGGAACTGCATTTCCAATCTGCCTGTGCTTGTGAAGAATGTTGCCCGAAAACTGGTAGCTATCCCTGAATCCTTGAGACCGAGCGCATTCCCGAACTGTCAGAATTCTGTCCTGGTCAGGGTGGAAGCACATTCCCACCTTTCCCATTGGCTGGGGATCTGTGATGGAGGTTGGGAAGTTGCCTTCCCAGTCAAGCCTTCCGAACAGGCCCTTCCACTGATTGTGGCGCTTGGCCGTGTTGGGCAGGCACCACGGGATTAAGTCAACAATCTGTCCAGTAGAGAGCTTCACCTTTTCGTCTGGAAGGCATTGCCAATCAGCACCTGGCCGCTTTGGAATCCTCTGGCAGCGAATGAGATTCAGCTCATTCATTTCTTTCGAAATGTGATCAGTCAGAACAGTCATCTCCCCTCGCATTTTCTTCTGGAACCATGAGATGGGGTCACCTTCGTACTCCAGATTGACCTTAGAAGCTCCATTTCCTACAGCTGGGAGATCTCCAATTGTATCTCTGACAGTTATGGAACGGAAAGGGGCTCCCCCTGCAGTACTTCGAACAGCAGCATAATATGAGTTCCCTGACAAATTGATCTTCAACTCTGGTACACCCAAAGACATGCATTGGCTCTGGCCACTCCGGGAGAATCTCATCGGGCGCAGCTGCCCATATGAATGCTCGCTTCCGTGACTGGGAAACTCCATAAGCTCCAGCTTCCAGAATACCAAACCTCACCTGGTAACCCATCTCAAGAAGGGAAGCCAGAGTCAGACGGAAAGTCTGTCCTTTGTTGAAAGACACAAGGTTCCTCACATTCTCCAGGAGGAAATACTTTGGCCGGAAGTAGTCAGCAAAGGACAAGAATGCCAAAATCATTTCACACTGAACTTTACTCCAAGTGCTTTGGTTGAACCTATTCATTCCAGAGAAACCCTGACACGGAGGTCCTCCATTGATGAAATCCACTTGCCCCGGCAGTGGCAGATCATTCTTAACCTTCTCATCAAGTGATTTAGCCAAATCAGCAGCTTCGGAAGTCGAGATGCAATCATCTGTATCCCCGCATTTCTCCATTACAGCCCTTAAGATCACATTGCAGTTATTGATAAACACCAGTGACTCGGGATGGTTCAGTTTGAAAGCATCACCAGCAGGCTCTTCGTACTCAATTGCCCACTTGGTTAATGAAATGCCAGCCTGACGCAGCCCTTCAGACAAGCCACCACACCCGGCAAATATATCTAATGTGGCTAGACGTTTCTGCTCAGCATCAACTCTCTGTTTCTCAACTTCTGAAACATCTTCTCCTTCTTTGATTTTCCCCTTCCTCTTCCTAGATTCCGCACCACCTCCTCCTGTTGAGTACCTCAGTTTGGTGGCCGCCGGCAACTGCTTGATAGACCCATTAGAAGGATCATACAGATACTCACAGAAGAAGATATGCTCAAAAGTGACAGGAGCATTGCATACTGGAAGATCACTCTTCTTTCTGACTTCACATTTTCCTTCTATATCATCAACAGTCACAAGGTGTGTTTCTTCACTGTAGTAGACCTCTCTAATATCAGAACAGTATGCCTTCTCAACCGAAATGTCCTCTGGTCTGAAAAATCTTCTCACTTTAACCTGGGTAGATTCTGGTCCAGGTCGTTTAGATTCCTTCGTACCAATTATCTCCAGCACTTGACACACAACATAAGCTCTCAGACCCAAATTCCTACCAGCCTTGAAAGTTTCAGTTTCCATCCTTTCAGTAGAAAACAAATGGGGACTTAAATAGACATAATCATGAACTGAGTACTCGGCTCCCCTGTATACAAAACCAGTCTTTGATGAATTCACTTTAAAAATCTCCTTGGCCTCCTCAGCTTCGTTCACTTTGCAAGAGTTGCAAGCACCAGAACCCAGACCCATGGTATCACAGGAAAGGCTAAAGAATGCACCTTCCCCGGGGCAATACAAGCTTTTACAGTAATATTCAGTTGGCAATCCCTTCTTCTTCCTATCTTCTGCCCTTTCTCTGTCTTTTTGGCTAGCTTCCTCATTCTCCTTCCTGTACTGATGCCCCCACGGCAATAATTTGATATCCACAACTGATGTCTCTTTAACAACCTTTAATGCCAAGTTTGTGCACTCATTTGTCAAAAATACCTCCCTCTCGTTGGCAGTGTTGCCAAGAACAGTCTGAGATCCTCGTTCCATCAATCTCCCATGAAACATTTTGCTTCCATTTCTTGTTTCATACATATACTCCACATAATAAATGGCAGGAAGTTCATCTGATCCATCAAGTTCTACCAAGACTGCACCACCAACAGAAATTTCATCTCCACGAAGACTGGCACGCATATAAAGAGCTTCGCCAGAACATGTTGTGCCTACAGGCTCCCCATCCCACAGAATCTCCTTGTTGTTGGAGCATGATTTAGTTTGTCTCGAAATTGAACTAGGCTTCTGGGCTTGTTCCGTTACTGCTGCATTATCGTTCTCTTCATCATCATCCTCTTCTATGTCCTCCTTATCCTCCTCTTCTTCAACTTCCTCCTCTTTCTTTCACCATTAGCTTCCTCCTCATTCGAATCTTCTGGAGAGTAATTTAAATAGTACTCCCCCCAGATTCTGTTGATCAGCCTTGTTGTTGTAGCCCGCATTGCCTTCTTCTTGGAAACCACAGGTCCCATGGATGCCCTCGGGTTCAAGTTTGATCCACTCTTCTCCACAACCTTCTTCTTCTTTACCAACCACTTAGTATGGTGTCTCTCCTCCATTTTCTTTGTAAGTCCAACCACAAATGGGCACTTTTTAATCTGCGCATCAGGAAATTCTGAAAACAGTTGCAGTATTATCTGTCCATGGACAACCACATATCTCTCAACAAATGCCGGATCAGAAGAAATGTACGCACAGTGGTCCTTTGGAAACCCTGACAATCTCTTAATGACCTCTGCAAAAGAAAGCCGTGCTACTCGACTTTGCTCTTTCAGCAAAGTGATTATGCTTCTACCAACCTTTGCTGTTTTTAGAATTGGTTCATACCACAGAGCATACTGCTTAGATGGCTGTCCAAGTCTATACCAGGCCAAATCTGTTCGGATTGATATTGAGATCATTGATGCTCCCAATTCAATCATCCACTCCTTTATTGCACTCAAGTAAATCGGCATTCCATCAGCATCCTTTGCTCCTGGACCACTTGAAGAACCATCAGAATCAAGAAAAAAGCCGCTTCCATCATCTCCAGTCATAACCCCCGACCAAAAATGGTAACATCAATGTCTGCACAAGGTTTCATTGGAAGAAGTTCCAACGAAATCAATCTTGAGTCTGAATTGTACAGACACCAATTATGAAGCATGCTTCGAGGAAGGTCATCAACATTTAAGATATCATAGTCATTGTCAAAAACTATGAACTCGTCAGTTTCTTCAATGGAATTCTTGTAATAAGCAGGTAGAGGATAATCATTGGCAATCTCATCTTCATTAATTTTGATGTAGTATTTGCTCGACCAGGGGCAGAACCCTGACGCTTTTTCTGTTTCATTGACTTCCAGTACTCTTCTTCTTGCAAAAGTCTTGCCAACTTTACATCCTCATTTTCCTCAGCTTCAACTATGGATGAACCGGCTGAAATCAGTCCATCCTCTCCGCCTATAACTTCCGAACCAATCTTTAGAGTTCCACTTGAAGTTGCCGGTTTTGATTGCACAAAACTTCCACACTTTCTGCTCTCATCTCTAAGGGCAGCAAGAACAGGCAGCTCTGTAAACGGCAGATCATTCTTCTTTGATGTTTCCTCCAAACCTACCAGTTGATCATAGATAAACTCACCTTGAGATATAACAAATTCTTTGATAGCTGCAGTACCGGAAAAGAATTTGGTTCCACTCATTGATCGAGCAATGGCAGCAAGTAATTCATCAAGAGTAGTGTCAGATTTGGATTTTGACAGCTTTTTGTAAACCTCTATGCAAGCACGCGCTTTCTCAAAGAATTGATCATGGTATTTCCTATAGAAGCTGGCAGGTTTACGACAATCATAATCAGCAACATCAGTTGAGAGCCATATCACAGGAGAGCCCTCTTCATAACCAGAGATGTTCCAAGATTCTATTCGCCCAAAACCTTCACATCTAACACCTCTTTCCTTGTCCTTGTCAGAACTTTCATTGAGAGGCAATATAGTACCAGATATAAACATGTCAGCAACTTCCAACATCTCAACGAGGCTGGGGTAACCCACTTTCATCATGCACAATAAAATCAGTCAGCCGTCTGTTTGGGCGTGCTGCATCTTGGTCCTCGCCAGAAGTCAGGACTATAGCATCAGTTTCTTGATCAACTACTCGATCCTTCTTGCTTTCAATAAGATTAGATTTTTCAGAAATGTGAACAGACTTCTCTTTAAAGTCTGTGCATGCAGCAGCCCGCTTGGGCATTTTCCGAGACTTGGAAGGCTCTTCAGTGCTCTGAGGCAAATTTCGCTTCTTAGTTTTGGAGCCAGTAGGTGCTGCCTTTTGGGAAGCTGGTTTGCCCTTCTTCTTCTTCTTCGTCATTCCTATCACAAAAGTAAAATTAGAGAAATTAGGCAAAGGAATGACAAGCTAACTGAAAAGTGAAATCAAGACCCAGGCCAAGATTTGGCGGAACCTAGACATATATATGCGCAAGACAATGAAGGAGGAGGATCCATGTACTAATCCTCTAAATTGATTTGGAAACTGGATCAAATCCAAAGCAGAAACAGAAATTTAAGCAAACAAAATCATGAGAAAGCACGTAGCCTTTGGCTGAAACCATCATAATGAACTCATAATACTGTAAAAGGTTAGTGAAAAATTGAAAATTCATAATCATAAATCATATTTACAGATTCATGATATAATATGATGACAGTAAACTAAAAACCCCATAAATGTAAACCATTGTTCATAATTCTTTAACATGATGACACGGCATCGAAAATGTGAAAAACCATAAACATAAATCCATGACCACAAATTCACTATACAATAAAATGGCAGTCAGAACCTTAAAACCATAATCTAAATTCATAATACAATAAAAGGGGCAGTCCAAAACATTTTTAAGAAAAATTACCATAGCCAAAAATCCAACCTCACAATTCATAATTTAACAAGAGGCAGCCTAAATCTAAAAACCCCATAAGTATAACCCATAATCATAAATTCCCAACCCAATAAACGGGGTGGTAAAAACCATTTAAAAAATATCCAAAAATCCAACATCTTTGAACCCTTGCACCCAAGGTCTCGAGTTCGATTTCCCCCTTCTACAATATCGCTTGTTAAAAAATAAATCCAGCATCTTTTTTTATTGTTGGACCAAAAATCCAACAACAGAAATTCATAATTTAATAACAGTTCAAATCTAAGGGATCATTGAAAACCCTTTTAAAATGACTAAAAATGCTTTTAGTGAAAGTGTTTTGTAATCAATCCTTGATAAAAATCCAAATGAATTCTAGGAAAGCACGTAAAGTGCTTCCTTCAAGAAACACATATCTAGTGCTTCTTCAAAAAAGAACTTTAAATGCTTTTAGAACCCAATATCACTTTCACCAAAACTACTTTCAATCATTTTCAAAGCAATTCCAAACGAACCTTAAAACCCCTAAATTCATAAATTCACAACACGAAAAATAGTAGTCAAAATTTTGAAACCAAAAGAAACCGTATGGGGTTAATGATACAACATCACAAATGCATAATTTAACAAAAGGGGCAGTCTAAATCTAAAACCCCTATAATTACAACCCATTATCATAAATTCACGGCACAACAAAATTGCAGTCAAAATTTTAACACAAAATCAAGAAACCATTAGACTCATATAATCTAAAGCATCGAAAGAACAAGAATCACAGGGGTAAATTAGGGATTAAAGTACCTGAGGAAGAGAAGCCGGTGGCTTAGCCCCATTGGCACCTTTGGTCTCCAAGACCGCCGCTGCTTCCGCGGCGGAACCCATTTCCCCCCTAATCGCCAGCGAAACCCTAGAATTCAGAGAATGCGGACAGAACAGAGGAGAGAGAGAAGAGGACTGAATGACTGATGCTTTCTCTCTCTCTCTCTCTCTCTCTCTCTCCTCTCTCTCTCTCTCTCTCTACCTGGGTGTATTTATTGCCGTTTGAACCGAGTACGGATGAACACGTATAGGCGGGAAGATGCAACCTTTGGCCCAAGTGTCGCTCTTTTATGGAAAACAAGGAGGGAAAATCCCTACATTTTTCAATTTTTATTTTTGTTCAAATCAAGAGATTCATAGTGCTTAGGTGCAATGATTTTTAGTAACCTATTGGAAATTTTTTTTTTTCTGTGTAGATTTTGATGAAGATATGGTGGATGGAATTTTAATAATTTAGAGTTATTTTCAGGGTGTAAATATGGCGGGGTGGATTTTAGTTTGATCATTGTAAAAATTAAGCGGTTGTTATAAAGTTAAACATGTGCAATTGAACTAGAGAAAATAAAATTCAACTAATATGGAAAGTAAGAACATGAGTTTTCAGGAATATGAATATGGCGGACTGAACTTTAATCTGATTACGTAAAAGTTTAACGAATACTGTAAAGTTAAACCTCTACAATTGATCTGGAGAAAATGAAATATGACCAATATGGTAGGGAGGAAGATGAGTTTTAGACGGTCGGTCAAGCACGAGAATCCATGCAAAAACTTTGAAGATTAAGAGTTGATATCCATCTTTCATACAAAGCCAAAAAATTAGCTTCAACTAGTCGTCAATGTACAGAGAGGCCATGCAGAAAATATTGAAGAATCCGTTTTGTGATTTCAAACTTTATGGGATAACTCTATTTTTATGAAAGTCCAATATTATCCCTTTTTTTAATGCAAATTACTTGTCTAGGCATTACGATTTTCCAAGCAAAGAAACAAGTACGAATGCGAAGTCTCGAGTTTTGAGATGGAAAAGAAAGCCAACTAGTAGAACGTTGACATGTCAAAGAGGAATCAAATTTTTTTTTCTCATTAAGTTGGAACTCGAGATTCATAGCAATCGCAACACAAATTATCTAATAGCTAACTAGTTGTTATTACTGTAAGAAAATTGTCACAACTGTCAATAAGTAAATTCTCATGTTAATAGACTAGTTTAAAATGATAAACTTTCAATTTTTTTCTAGCTACCAAGATTCATCATTGACAACTCAAAAAAAGTATGCAATATATTTTCTATGAAAGGATAATTTACCCTTTTTAGAGAAATTTTTATTTTCTATAAAAGGGTGATTTTCCCTTCTCTTTTTTCAATCTAAGCACATCGCCATTGAACCTGATAATTCAAAACTCATTGAGCATATCTAACAACTTTGCATATCCGGTGAAGATTTCCACACCCAACACAATCATCAAGTTTTGTAGTAACACACATAGTTTGCTCAGGGCCAGAAGCCGGACACCAATTCAGCCCATGTCTGCATACTTGAGATAGTTTGCGGTCTTGTATGCCAGAAGCCCAATTACCATTACAATCTCTACCACACTTACAAGTGGTCATGTGTTTATAAACAAGAAAATATATGATACAAGAGATTTTTTAATGTACTTGAAACATAAGGCAATACATTACGTATTGTAACATAGAAGTGGGACATATCCACTTATACTGTACATGTAGTGTGCCGCCTTGTGGTACTGTGTTATGGATACACATAAAAATTTATCATTTGATAGAGGATTTCGGTGTCAAGGTTCCCATCTAGCCAAGAACACACAATGAGTACTCTGATGCATTCGTGGTACCACAATAGACTCATGTGGAATTTAAATGTAGGAAGTTTCTCTGTGTGTTTCTTAAGCAAACATGTGACGTGACATTGAAACTCTCGCCCGCCCGGTAATCTCTCCATAATAATGTCGGAGAGCTGCCCCAAATAATGAAAGGTGGTTCGACTTTAACACCACCAAACAAGGTGTCAAAGTTGATTTGAGAATGCCAGGTGGGTTGTGTTGAAAATTTGGCAAAACCCTTGGCCCCCCAACTTGGTATTTTGGGCGACCCTTTTAGTTGCCAAAAAGCTCTATAATTGAGCCACGCTTTCATCTCATTTTGTCATGTGGAGGCTTAAGCTTTGAGGCACATGACAATGCGCAGTCAACATCATTGCATGGAACGAAAGGGGGTGCCTTACGCTTTGTAGCTCAATATATATATACACATATGCCCCACTTGAACGGCTAAACCCATCATCCCATCTCATGAGTTGGAGCTTCTAACATGTTAGCTTAAGCTTTCCTATCACTTTTTGCTTCTCTTTTTTTTTTTTTTTTTAATAATTTTTTTAATAATTTAATGGATAAAAAGGAAAATGATATCTTGTTTGATATAATAATATTGGTCAAGTGAAGCAAATAAATTAAACTAAAAAATGCTAGTCCAAAACATTGCATATTGAATGTTCTTTGGGTCATGTAGAGTACATTCATATAGGACATAGAGCAGTCAAGCATTGGACAAGGAGTAGAATTGCCAATGGTTAGCCTTTAACTTATGCTCTTGGTGTGTATCTCTTATGATTTTTTAATAAGAAAATTTTTGTCATACGATTACGAATGACATATGGAGACTTTCATAATTGCAAGTCGTTAGATGAGTATAACATACTATTTCGGCCTTTTAACCAAAATAGTCATTGAAATTGACATAATTTCTTACTTTGATTTTTGTGATTTAAAATCAATAAAACAATTCAGACGACCAAGTGAAATTGCTCTTAATAGTAGTGAGCTAGAATAATAAGAAATTGGCTAGGCTTAAAACTGGGGCGTTCATTTTGCAGAGCAATTAATCGGCGGGACTAGGCAACGCTAGCAATCTCGAGCGTGACGGTTGGAAAAGGCCAGCCAGATGCACGCAGTAGAAGAATAAAAAATTGCATAACACATTCCCTTTCTTTTTCTTTTTTTTTCTATTTTTTTTTCTTCTGATGTGATGGTATAAAAGGCCGTTTAATCTGGCGCCAAATGGAGGTATCGTGCGCCTCAAAAGCAATTGTCTCTGAGCTGTTCGTTACGTGAGACAACGACAACTTTCTGGTTTTTTTCTTTCTTTCTTATTTTTCTAATTTCCATCATATCTTTTTGAATTAATTATATTTCACTCTTTAAATTTGTGGTAATATTCATGATGGATCGAGACGTTTTAATTTCTCATATTTCAACATAAAATGTTGAAATGTATCAAATTTATTCCTTTGGTTTGATTCATTATTTAATTTTTTATTTAAATTAATGATATGATAAACATAAGAAATATATATAAGCCAGCTAACGTAAAAGTCACATTTTTATTATATTAACAAAAAAAATCATAAATTTAATAAAATATTAGATATCCAAACAAACAAAAATTATACAAAATTTAATTTTCGGGTGCAATGTAAAAAGTATAAAATTGAATTAATTCTTTCTTTTACTGTTATGGGGATGTGAAAGGGAACGGTAACAAAAAAAATATGGAATATCTAATAAATGACAAAAGAGTAGGAAAATGACTGGCTATGGCTATGGTTAGCAAGAAGACGAGAGAATATTTTCTATTTTTCTAATTTGTAATTTTGAAGAGATTTGGTAAATATTAATAAATAGGTGGTGCCACTTAATAGTTGTCACATTCAATTTTGTGGACCGACCAATTTGTATATAAAGTCAAGCTATACAGATTAGAGGCTACCAATGCACATGGTTAATGTCTACTTAGGCAATGCCTTTTATTTATTTTTTGCATAATTTTTGGGTTACCTAAATTTCTAAACTTGACAAATTCATAAAGTGCATACAACCCATTCATGAAAGGTGTCACCAATTATTTGTCTGGACGATAATTCTAATTGTGTTTATCACATTTTGAGGTCCGGTTTTCACGTAACATGATTGGAGACGGAACTTAACTAAGAAAAATTGACATGGATGATGTACCATGTATGTTAGGAGACATCCATTTGTTCACACTGTAAGCTGCATGCACTTTTTCTATTTTCATACGATTTGAGCCAAAAACCTAACATGTGAATCTCGAGTACATGAGTAAATGCTCCAACCACTTAAGCCACAAACCTCTAACATGTGTATATGGTAACTAACTAAAAGAAACTCTCGTTGAGCTGTCAACAATTAGTTGTTTAACAAGAATAACGTATTGAGATCACTATTTAACTAGCACTCGGTTGTGTAGTTGATCACTTATATGCCGTACTTCTTTAACCAACGATGTTCTAACTAAAATAATAATCAGGTATCAAACATTTAAGTATGTCAAAACTAAAACTTCTTACCTATTAATGAAGATTAAAAACTATTAGACTATAATACTTAGAATACTTTTGTGTCGAACTTAGGCACATGGTTGTGTTATTAGTCTCGGCCAGAAAGGGAAATGTAATTAAGACTAAAATGTTATTGAAAATTTAGACTTAAATGTTAAAATGATTTCCATGTTATAAATTTGGGAACTTCAACGAAAAACTCTCGGTACAGTTCACTTTAATGAAAAACCATATTTTTACACTAAAAAATCAATCATAGTACTATTCATTTTACCCTTTATTTTGTCCTTATCGTTAAAACTCAAAATTTTTATTAACTTTCCTTATAAATTATAACTATTTAACTCATTTTTTCGTCGTGTTTTTAATTTGGCCAATTTTAGCGAAGACGTGGTAGAAGATGGAACCTTTCCTTTCTGGTCGGTTATTCCACTCCAGCAATACCAAGGCAGTACCTTTCTCTGTTCCACATTATTCTAATCATTCAAGATATTTTTACCATTATTTTATCAAACGATCCAATCGTACTCAACTTCCTCCCTCGTATCTTTGAATTTCCCTATGCCTTCTTGTTTTTTCCTTTCCGAAATCTCTCTCACTTCTGTTTGCAGCAGGAAAAAGGCTTTTTCTCCATCGTCTTAAAATTTCCCATTCACTGTTCACATATAATTCCATCGCAAATCATAGTTCGCTTTCTGAAACCTGACATTCCTGCTGGTCTCCCGGAGCGTCAGAAGCCCAGTTGGCGTGTTTGGTAGCCGAGAAAACAAGCCCAGAAAACGGTAAGAAAAGTGCTTTACTTTGAGTTCAGGATTTTTGGCTTCTTTGGCTCCCTGCATTTCTCAGAGCTAAACTGTTTCTGGGTTTTCTGTGTTTATGGTTTTGAATTCAAAAGTTCAATTTTTTCATGTTTTTGCCTGTTCAGTCGAAGGGTAGTGATTTTCGCACTCTCGTTT